GCTGAAGCATTGTGCACAGTGTGTGCTTTGGTGCTCTCTCATAAGGCAGAACAAATCAATACACTAAGAGAGAAACGAGGGCTCTAAAGGCTCCCGACTGGATTAATAATCTCAGGAATAATAATAATAGAATAATGCAAGAATAATGATTCTTGCATTGTGTGTTGCCATAAGCTAGAAACAAAGCATTCAGAAACACAAACTTACTGAATTGAAAGAAATTCTAAGGAACAGAAGTCTTCAAATTAGTGCTGCTCTAAAATAAAAAATATAGATAGGAAATGTTTTCAAAACCTGCTATTTTCCTGCTAAGTTTCTCTAATAATCTTACAAACTTGGGCCTACATTATAACTCATGTTCTAAACCAGGAGAACAGGTTGGGGGGGGGGGGTTTGGGAGAAGCTTTCTGAACAATTTTTTCATCTAGTTTGGGAAGTCCAAGTGTCACAATTCTCTTTCGGAAAAAAAAATAATTTCAGTAAGCAGTTCAAACAAACATGTCTACACCACTAGATAATTAATTAATTTTAAAGACAGAGAAAAAAACGGTTTAATTTATCATATATCATCTTTCATAATACTGTTACAAAAATACTTAAACTGATATATCAGCTTAGTAATGATATAGTAAACTGATAGATCAGTTTAATACATCGTCGTTATCCAATGGCTTGCTTTTAATAAAAAATAGTGCATGGAAAATGCTTCATGCTTTTAGTTTATACTGCTTGTTTCATCCCTTTGACATACAAAAACCAGTCAAAAGTACCTAAACTGAGCATTTTTGCAAATAGTGAATATTGATACCCAAGACAGTTCCCAAAACCGGGCGGGTAGACCCATTCCTAAAGACAACGGCTTTGAACAGCAGACGTCACTGTTGCTTTTCAAGATAGCCCTGTATCAAGCCTTGAACCCGAGACAGAATAATCTCATTGGAGCTGCTGCACTCTTCTGGGCCGTATGGTGGGTCAACAGTCAACACCCCTGCCACACACAGCGTTCTTCCTGATTCACCTTGCTCCGTTACGGGGATATGGTTTGTTTCTAGCCAAGTCTTCAAGTCGTTCTTCCTCTTTTCAAGTTCCTCGAGGCTGTAGGCTTTGCTTTCTTCAGGTGCAAATATGCGAGAAAGCTGTTCTTTCATTTCATCATCCCCTTCTTCCAGTACTTCAACCTCCTGGACAGCGTGGCCCAAGACAACTGATATGGACACTTTTTTATTCTCCAGGAACGTTGCAAGAACAATACTGCCAAGGAGAGAGGGATGTATGAGTCACTGCACTTAACCGAAGACTGCGAAACACAGGCCAAGATTCTTGGAGATGAGCACTCATTAGCATGAGCATAACCCAGGTACTTCAGCAATATCGAGTACCTCGTGTTTTTCTTGAAAAGCATGCTGCTGTACCCTTCAAACTCTGAAAACGTGGGGCTTTGCAGGTAACTTCTGGGCTTGAATTTGAAACTAGATACTATCAAGCAGAACGTTACTTTAGAAAAGCAAAGTATACATAAAAATCAGGGCTGGGATTCTAAATATTTTTGTGCAGCATTCCCAACCTGGCTAAAGAACCTTAAGTCTTCCAACTTTCAAAAACAATGACACCTTCATACATGCAGCACTTTGAATGCTGAAGGCAATGCTGACAGCTAACAACATCAGAACCTTTTAATGACAATTTATTAATATTTAATTATTGATCATTACAAAAAGAATAATTTATTTAAAAAAATAAAAATGAGTGTTGATAGTTTCTTAACTGAAAACTATAGCTTGAGTATTACAATGGGGATACACCACAGCAGGTTCCGGCTCCTGTTGTAGCAGCCTGGTCCTCTCCCAAGGGCACTTAGATCCCAGAAGTCCTAAAATATAGGTAGGAAGGCAGTTTGTTATATTTCTAGGATCTCTTCCCCATAATATCAACAAACAGGATCAGAAACCATTTTCTTCCTCTTGTAGGAAGAAAAATTCCAGAACTGGGAAATGTGCAATGAAATATGCCTTGATTTTAGCCTGGGCCATCCCCAGAATCACTCACAGCTGCACACACCTTTCCTACTGTCCTACACCTACCAAAATGATAAGCAACTCCCAAGAGAAGATTAGAGTATCAGAGCTACTCCAGAGTTGAAGCAACAACAAATTCTTCTGAAATATATCAGAAGCTTGATGTTTTAGTTTCTAGCCTCCATCTTGTGCTCATGTGGGACAAGCTCACAACCAAAAAGTTATGAAAAAGTTGTAGCAGCAAGGAGCCAGATTTCTGCCTTCCAAACCCTATTTTTAAGTTACTCACTTGAGCTACTAGAGACCTGTAGCACCACTTGCTGGCCAATGCCCTTGCTGATTTTCCCTGCTTCTTCTCCAAAGCAGCCACTACACCCTCATGGGTGTCCAGTTGGAAGGGAAAGCAGGGCATTGATGTGAGAACTCTGGACAAAGGATAAAGATTTCA